AAACTTGGCACGGATACTCAATATGCCCAAATGTGAACACTGATGGGGTTTGGGGAAAATAGACTTTGACGTTTGGGAGTTGTACTTGTTGGGATTTATAGTTCACCTACAATCAAAGAGCATTCTGAACCCCACCAACAATCGAATTGGGCCAAACTTCCCACATAGAACCCCCATGACCAACAGAAAATACTGTGTTTTATTATTGTCTTTGGCGACCCCTCTGACACCCCTTCACGACCCCCCCCAGGGTCCCAACCCCCAAGTTGAGAAACGCTGATCTAGAGGGTTATTTTCATCCCTGTATTTTCTCTGCAGAGGAATTCCTCCACAAAATTTCAGGAAGTTAGAACACTGGGGAGAAATATTTGTTTTGTCCTCCCACAGCAGGGAGTAAACAACTGCAATTCCTCATCCCGGCATGTAAGGTTGAAATAGTTGAGGATTTACACCCTGGGTCCTGTGTGGGAGATGTGAGACAGAAAACAATCCTTTCAGCTTAGCCGCATTGTGCACAAGGAATGCTGTGTGAGTATATTTCCCATTGTTCACTGGGTGGTTTGGGCAGATTTACAGCTTTTCACCATGAGGTGTGCCCTCCAAACACACTTTTTGCACTCTGATTCTCAGCTAATAGAGATCATTTTTTATTTAAGCCCGTTTCCCTCTCTCTTTCCCTACACGTTCAATCTGCCGGGGCACCCATGATAAATTCTGCTAGGCGTCATTGCAATTTTTGATGCATGAATAGTTTAAGTAATCATTTAAAATCATTTTATAAGACATGGATTTGCATTAAACTCTCCTTCAAGTCACATACCCAGCAGTTGTCTCTGTCTGGCAGGAACGGTTCTGATTAATCCACTGTCATCTCATTTTAAAAATGTCTTAGGCAGCATCTACATCAGTGTTTCTCAACCTGGGGGTCGGGACCCCTGAGGGGGTCATGAGGGGGTGTCAGAGGGGTCACCAAAGACCATCAGAAAATACGGTATTTTCTGTAGGTCATGAGGGTTCTGTGTTTGGCCCAATTCTATTGATGATGGGGTTCAGAATTTCCTTTGATTGTAGGTGAACTATAAATCCCAGCAACTATAACTCTCACATGTCAAGGACTATTTTCCCCCAAAACTCTACCAGTGTTCACATTTGGGCATATTGAGTAATTGTGCCAAGCTTGGTCCAGATCCATTATTGTTTGAGTCCACAGTGCTCTCTGGATGTAGGTGAACTACAGCTCCAAAACTCAAGATTGATGCCCAGCAAACCCTTCCAGTATTTTCTGTTGGTCATGGGACTTCTGTGTGCCAAGTTTGGTTCCATTCCATTGTTGGCGGAGTTCAGAATAGTCTTTGATTGTAGGTGAACTATAAATCCCAGCAACTACAACTTCCAAATGACAAATTAAATACCCCCAAATCCCACCAGTATTCAAACTTGGGTGTATCTGATATTTGTGCCAAATTTAGTCCAGTGAATGAAAATACATATCTGCATATCAGATATTAACATTACAATTCAAAGCAGTAGCAAAATTAGAGTTATGAAGTAGCAACAAAAATAATGTTATGGTTGGGGGTCACCACAACATGAGGAACTGTATTAAGGGTTTGCGGCATTAGGAAGGCTGAGAACCACTGATCTACATTGTAACATTAATGCAGTTTGATACTCCTTTAACTGACATGGCTCAATGCTATGGAATCTTGGGGTTTGTAGTTGCACATCATCTTTAGCTCTTTCTACCCAAGATTGCTGGTGGTTCACCAAACTACAAATCCCAGGATTCTATAATATTGAAGCAAGCAGCTATATGGCCTTCCAGTGCAACCCATAATGTAAATAGGTGTATTGGGTAGAGCATTGATTGTGCAATGGGTTGTGTTTGCATTGAATGGCAATGTTGTCCAACACAATGTGTAACCAAGGAAGCAGAAGCTGAGCATCCCTTATCTTGAGTTCCAAAATCCAAAACACTCCAAAATCAAAAACTGTCCATGTGGGTAGCTGAAAAAAAAACCGAGACCTTTGCTTTCTGATAGTTTACGGATTATACAAATGTTGTTACTTGTATACAGTTACTAATATATTGTATAAAGTTAGTTTCAGGGTATGTGTATATGAAAGATAACTGAATTTTGGATTAAGACTTGGGTCTTAATGAAAAATATCTGAATTTCATATGAACACTTGGATCTCATTGCCAATTTTTCCCATGACGTACATATATGCAAATACAGGTATTCCAAAATCCCCAAAAGTCCAGTCCTAAGCCTTTTCCCATAATCATAGAATCATAGAATCAATGAGTTGGAAGAGACCTCATGGGCCATCCAGTCCAACCCCCTGCCAAGAAGTAGGAATATTGCATTCAAATCACCCCTGACAGATGGCCATCCAGCCTCTGCTTAAAAGCTTCCAAAGAAGGAGCCTCCACCACACTCCGGGGCACAGAGTTCCACTGCTGAACGGCTCTCACAGTCAGGAAGTTCTTCCTCATGTTCCTTCTCTTCTTCAGGCGAAACATGCCCATCTCCTTAAGCTGCTCCTCATGGGGCTTGTTCTCCAGACCCTTGATCATTTTAACCCATGTTAGGGAAAGTTCTGCCATTACCTTTTGCTCACTGAGTTTTTACTTTGCCAGAACAATTTTGTTAAAAAAAATAGTATTTCCAGGTTCTTTTCCTTTCTTTCCTTTCCTTCCCTTTCTTTCCTTCAAATATATATTTCCAGAAAATGTATTTTAAAATATCAACAAATATCAATAAATCTTAGTATCATTGTGTGTTAATGATAAAAGGCGATAGTTTCCTTGCAATAAGTAGAAAGAAAGAATAATAGCCTTAACTATTGGTCTCAGTCAGGCCCGTAGCCAGGATTTCGTTTCGGGGGGGGGTGTGAATTTTTTTTCAGGGGGGGTTTCGGGGGGGGCTGAGTTTCGGGGGGGGGGGGGGCTGAGTCTGAGTGAAAGAGGGTCTAGCCTAGCAAACCTTTTGTATCATTACCCCAATACCCCCATGCATATGGGATATATTGAGTATGGTGATCAGATCATGATATGAATAAACATAACAGTTTAAATAATGCACCAATAAGGCCTTTTCGCGAACCACCATGAAAATTTCAGGGGGGGGGGCTGAAGCCCCCCGAGCCCCCCCCCCCCTGGCTACATGCCTGGTCCCAGTAAAAACTCCATGGTAATTCACGCAATAACTTCACAGTGGTCTTCAAATTAGTGGATTTTTTTCAGCCTTAGTGGAGTCATTGTATGTTCATTTGTTATACCTTTCCTGCCACCTTGTGTCCAGAATGGTGAATTGTATGGTTTGACCTATCTATCTATCTATCTATCTATCTATCTATCTATCTATCTATCTATCTATCTATCTATCTATTCATCCATCCATCCATCAGCACTGCCTCCGGAAAATCCTGCAAATCTCTTGGGAAGACAAGCAGACAAACGTCAGCGTGCTGGAAGAAGCAAAGACCACCAGCATTGAAGCAATGGTCCTCCGCCATCAACTCCGCTGGACCAGCCACATTGTCTGGATGCCCGACCACTGTCTCCCAAAGCAGTTGCTCTACTCCGAACTCAAGAATGGAAAACGGAAAAGAGATTTAAAGATGGGCTCAAACCCAATGTTTAAAACTGTGGCATTGACACTGAGAACTGGGAAGCCCTGGCCCTTGAGTGCTCCAGCTGGAGGTCAGCTGTGACCAGCAGTGCTGCGGAATTTGAAGAGGCACGAATGGAGGGTGATGTGCCAAGAAGAAGGCACATCAAGCCAACCCCGACTGAGACCACCTCCCACCTGGAAACCAATGCCCTCACTGTGGGAGAAGATGCAGGTCAAGAATAGGGCTCCACAGCCACCTACGAACCCATCCCCAGGACACCGAACTTGGAGGACCATCATCCTCGGACTACGAGGGATTGCCTAAGTAAGTAAGTAAGTAAGTAAGTAAGTATCTATCTATCTACTTTATTTATATCCTGCCTTATCTCCCCATGGAGACTCAGGGAGGTACCAACAAACAAAGGCAATCATTCAATACCCGTAAGAAAGACAATAATCATAACATTTAAACAGTCTCTAATAAATTAAGTTACAACACCAAGCATTATATGTTGCCTCAAATGTGATGATATCTCCTTCTTGAGGTTTTTCAACAGACACTGGATGGCCATCTGCTGGGAGTCTTTTGATTGTGTATTCTTGCATGATAGACCGAGGTTCAACCAGGTGGCCTTGGGGTTTCTTCCAACTGTATGATTCTATGATTCAGATGCCATTAGCTCACCGTGAATGACCTAAAGGTGAGAATCATGCCAGACTGCAAATCCCAGCAACCCTAGCTACTGCTAGCAAAGTCAGTGGTGACCAATGTTGGACACTGCAATCCATCCACCTCCAGACAGTCTCCAAAACACTATTGCTGGTCTAAAATGTGATTTGGTCAGCTTCTGCCAACCTAGCAGTTCTAACACATGCAAATGTGAGTAGATCAATAGGTACCACTCTGGCGGGAAGGTTTTTTTTTTTTTTGTGTCGTGTCAGGAGCATCCTGTTGTGAGAGAATTGGCCGTCTGCAAGGACGTTGCCCAGGAGACGCCCGGATGATTTTTGATGTTTTATCATCCTTGTGAGAGGCTTCTCTCATGTCCTTGCATGAGGAGCTGGAGCTGATAGAGGGAGCTCAACCGCCTCTCCCCAGATTTGAACCTGCAACCTGTTGGTCTTCAGTCCTGCCAGCACAGGGCTTTAACCCACTGCACCACCGGGGGCTCCTGGCAGGAAGGTAACAGCACTCCATGCAGTCATGCTGGCCACATGACCTTGGAGGAGTCTATGGACAACGCTAGCTCTTCGGCTTAGAAATGGAGATGAGCACCATACCCCAGAGTCAGACACGCCTGGACTTAATGTCAGGGGAAAACCAACCAAAATGTGACTGTCTTTCTAGCAAAGACAGTCCCGGAAATAAATAAACACAAATCTATTTTCAGAAGTCAATTTTATCTCCATAATGCAATTAAAAAAAACACACTGACAAAATATCTAAAGCCATCACTTGAGAATGTACAAAAAAAAATCATCATAATCATCATCATAAAATTGATTTACATGGTTTTTAAAGTCATTTGAAATAACAGATAGGTAAGAAAGTGGGAAAACTAAAGACATGTTAACAAGGAATAATAAGTTACAGTTCTAAAATTTAAAAAGAGAGGAAAGCTATAACCATCGATATATATGATAAGAGAGACCTAACTAGAATATCTCCCTCGCCTTCTCATTCGAGGGAAAGGAAATGATGAAGAGTCTTTAAATTCCAATGCATATACTTCATTGCTAAATATGGATACTACTAAATATCTCTTGTTAAAAATGTCATAAAGTACAGGGATGTGGGTAGCTAAGGAAAGAACTACTCTAAACCCAGGTTTGCTGCATCTATGGAGATGGGGGAAGGCATTTGTATGTTTTTGAGGCAAGTTATATAGTAACAGGAGAGAGAAGCAGGTTGGGGGATTTCTAATGATAGCAAGAAGGAGAAGAAAAGGCAGAGTCCAGGAGTGTATTCTTTGAAGTATTGTATCAGTGGCTCTTTGGTTGCGCCCAAGTCTCTTTGGCCTGCATTTGGAACATCTGACTATCCATTATGGTTGGAAATAAAATGGTGGCCTTTGGTCTGATACAACAGGACAATTTTTCTAAGTCCTTAGAAAGAACCTTCTTAGAAAGAGCCTTCTCATAACTTTCTTCTTTTCTTTGACCTGAAGTCCAGGATAGTAATAACAAGTCAGTGGTCTTTTCTCCAAAGACTGGTTCCAAACACAGGTTCAAGGTTATCTTCAAATATAAAGGCTGTAATTCCAAACATTTGGCAAGGCTTAGAAGTTTTCCTGATACACATTTGTGTGTTTGATAGATAGACCAGCCTATGAAGTGCTCCATCTTGAATTATCTGAGTTCGATTCAACTGAATGAGTCTTTCCAAAACCAGTTGGATTAAATTGCTTTAACACAGAACCCTCTGTCTTAGCTAGATCACAACCCTTATTTTTATCTGCCACTTGCTAAAATGTCTATTTCTTTGCAGGCTTGGAGTTGCTAAAAGTGACAAACACCACTCCGGCTTCTTGGTGGCCTTCATTTGAGGGGAAGTCAGCCGGGCTGTTCAGATATCTCCGAAGGACTGGAGAAGCTGTCACCTCATATCTTGTGGGGCATGACACCATGTCGCATGTGGAGGATGTCTGAGTCTCAGACTGTTTGGTAACAGTGGTGGAAGAGGTGATGATCTTGTTTCCAAACTCATCCACTTCCTCATATTGCTCTGTCACTGTTCTGGTTGCCCCAAAGAGCTTTGACCCATCGTGGTTGGTCTGAAGTTCTAGGATGCTTTTCTGTCGTCTTGGATTTGATGGGCTTAAAGCACTCAGGGAAGCTTTGGAGGCGTACTCAGGTCCTGCTCCTTGGATAAAATTTTGGGATACATCCTGTTCCTTATCACTGTTAGTGCCAACGTGACGATGGAGAACTTCTGGGCTGCTGAGATGCTGTTGCTTAATCAATCCGGTTCCTTTCTGCATCTGGACAGGGGCATATTCATCTTCACAGAAAGCCAAGTTACAGTCATCTGACCTCACTGATTTTCGTGGTAAGGAGCTAAAAATGTCCTGGGCAGACACTTCCTTTCCCCTTGTATACTGTGCAGAGGGAGATCGAGATGTTTGGGGTGAGTCTCCAGTTTTCCGTGCAGCAGATTGAATGGAGATGTAGGAAGGAGAGGAAGGAGAACTCGCACGGGGCTGAATGATGTGAGGAACCTCTAGTTCCAGTTTTGGTGCCTCCTGCTTTTCTGCCCCTTTTGCACCATCCCAGCCAGAGTGTTGTGTGCCCCTGTCCTGTTTGGCTTTGCTGGACACAATACTGATCTTTCGGATGTTGTTCCCACCTGCAAGGCTCTGAGAATTCCCAAGAGATTCTTTAAGAAGTCCGGAGAGCCCAGCAATGTCCGATTCAGATTTCAGGCTTGAAATGGAGCACAGGGCTTTCCGGATGGCTTCTTCAATGTCCAAGAGCCGGCTGAGAGTCTGCTCCTTTAAATGAATGATCTCAGCGCTTGCTCTCTCTAGATCTTCGAAGGCCAACTCCACAGATGAGACACTATCTGTATCTTCCTTGACATCTTTCATTTGCTCAACCTTCTCTGCCTTGGGTTCTTGGGTCTGATGAGTCTTGTGATACACCACCCAGTCAGGGACATTCTCAAAGAAGTTCTTTAAGGATTTCACATCCACCTTGGACGTTTCCTCCTCAAACTCCTTCACTCGGGTTAGAATTTCTTGAAGCGCCTCTTGTCGTCGCAGGTTTTCAAATATCTCCATGGCTTCTTTCACGTTGCCTTTCATGATCTCCTCCTTGTGGACAGACAGTCTCTTGCGACGCTCATCTTCAGTTTCTCGGCAAGGTTTCTCCCGCATGATCACCACAGGATTTTGCCTCTCCTCTGCATTTTGTTCAGATGTCCTTTCTGGACCCCTTAATCCTTTGTTGTGCACAAATTGTGGATCTTCTAGGAAGGGCTTTGACTGGAAAGAAGAAGATGCAAGAAAGGCAGGTTCTAACATCTCTAATCTTGGGCTTGTTGTTTGGTTGTCCATGGAACCTGCAGCTCTGGGTATGCTTAAGTCATCTGTCTCTGAAGATGTGTTATGTGTTGTGATAGCTCCTTTTTTCAAAATATTGGCATGGCATTTGGCAGAGAGATATGGCTTTCTTGGGCCATCAAGGCTCATGAGATCTGTTTGAAATCCAAGCGACAATGGAGAACCTTGTGTATTGGTTATGGCACCTCCACTTTCTGGTTGGCAAAATGTCAGAAATCCTTCTGTCTCTTTTGTCAGATAGCAGCTTTCTCCTTCAGATCTCATTTTTACTGCCTCCACGGAAAGTTTCTGGCCAGCCAATTCCACTTTGCTCTGCTCTTCTTTCTTGGCCTTATACTTTTCTTCTGCTACTTGCAAAGGCGTCTTGACCATATCTCTTCTGGGATTTTTCTCAGATCTTAAGTCCTCAATTGCAGTAGACACAGAAGATGGAGCCACAGGAACAGCTGCTGAATATGGTTGACATGTAGGTGGCTCCCAGATCTCGGCCCCACAAGCTGCCTTTGCAAAGTCTGGGATAGGTAAAGTCTTTGACTTGCTTTGCTCAACCTCAAGCAGAGGTTTGGGAGAAGAAAGCTGGGCTGTTTCTATTCCTAATGACCCTTTCTTGAAGCTTGCTGGCTGGGGAAGTGCTTCCTTCAAAAGGAATTCTGGTTTTGGAGGTGGGACCGGTTTTCTCCTTGGTGGGGCGATCACTCCGGGCTTGGGGGGTAGTTGTGGTTTCTCTATAGCCTTCTGGTCACTTGGTTTGGTTGGGGCTGGAGGAAGAGCCTTAGGAACATATGGCTGTGCAAGTGAGGAACACCTTACAGTTTTCACTTCTTTCTGTTTGGTTGGCTGACATTCGGTTCCCATCACTGAAGCTGGAGGAGGAGGAGGACAATCATTAATAGCCTGCGAGCCTGAAGCTTCTACAGCAGCTGCCTGGTTACTAAGGATCTGAGTCTCGTTTTTCTTTTTACAAATGGAATAGGACTGCCCTGCTTGCCTGTATATCATAGCTGCTTTAAAATCCCCTTTGGAGACATTAACGTTAGATTTTTCCAGGGACTCAAGTGTGGCTTTTAAGTTGCCACGGACAACATCCTCTTTGTCTATGGGCCTCTGTCCTGTTGCCGCACTCTGCAGGGCTCGGATAGCTGTCTGCACATCCCCTCCGATTATGGGCTCTTGCTCTCGTTCTTCAGGAACGGAGTGTTCTTTGTAATCAGACTCAGCGAATGGGTTTACATAGGACTTGACGGGTTTGGCAGTGTAAAGGCCGTCCTTAATACTAAGCTCTGCACTAGGCTCATCCTTGAGAGCTGCAAATGGCAGCACCCCATCCTGCTCAGAAGCACTGACTTTTGGGTATGGTGCCATGCTCTTCTGAGGCATGATTTTCTGGGACTTGGGCATCTCCTGCACGCTGAGAAAGATTGCATTTCCAGCTTGTTGGTGGCTGGTGGCTACACAGCCCTTATGGCATCCTGCAACCTGCACAGTGGCCGTCTGGGTGGGCTGCTGAATCTCTTCGGTTGTTTTCTGAAGCTTGCTTTGGAATTGGTGCCGGAGGCTTTGGGCCTCTGCGGTGGCAAGTCTGAGACTCTGCATGGCTGCTTGAAGATCACTGCCAAGAGCAGGCGTCTGGGAATGGTCAACTGTCCCTACTAGGGAAGAGTGGGTAGCCCCACTGGTTACTATCGTCTGCTCTGTTACCTTGGCGGTGGCTGTTCCCTCCTCTCTCTTTCCCAGGACTATTCTGTCTTCTATCACTACACTGTTGCTATTGTCCTGTGTTTTTTGCACAGATTCGATAGGGAATTTAACTTGCCTAGGAACTTGGTTTCCCTCTACTATCACTGGTTTTAGGGATTGCGCAAGACAGTGCTCAGTAGAACCTAGGTCTGCCTCCCTTTCTAAAGTCCCTTCTTTGCTCTTACACAAGATTACTTGCTTAGTTCCACTGATATCCCCTAATACCACATCTGCCATTTGGGGCACTAGTTTTCCCTCCGGTAACTGGGCAGGTACCTTGGCTTGTTGCACAGTTTCCATTGGCTCCTCTTGTACCTGGGAGGAAGCCAGGGACTCTATCTCTGATTCCCTCTGGAGGTTCTTCAGGTAGTCCAGATCTCCCTTCTCGATGCAGCTGGTGTACAACTGGACGTTGCCTTTCTCGTTGTCTTCTCGGCGGATGGTGGCTGTTGCCTTCTGCTCTTGGGAAGAAGCCAACAGATTCCCAATGGTTGATTTTACATCTCCCTTAATCAAACTGTGTTCTTGAGCAAAGTGGTGGAGAAGGGAAAAGATAGTTATCTTGGCTGAGCCAGTCTCTGTCTCCTGCATAAGAAGTCCTTTCTTGATTGATATATCTTGACTAAGAAGTTCTTGGAGAGCCTTTGACACATCGTCCTTCAAATTCTCTTTGCTCTTCTCAGCCTTTCCAGTGTCCAGAAGCTGCACTGGTCTGACCCGGACCTCCCCATTCACTTCTTCCTGCACCAACTCCCCACTGGCCTCTATATTGCTCCTCTGAAGTAGCTGCATCAAGATGTTTTGCAGGTTGCCTCCCATTACCTCTTCTTTTTGGACTTCAGGGCTTCCATGAGGACCAAGATGGTATTTGGCCATTGTGATGCTCTCAGTGTCACTGGCTTCAATGAGGATACCATCATGTTGAATCACCTGGTGTGAGAAGAGAACTTCCAAAGTAGATGTTATGGTTCTTTGGGTTGCATCCTTTTCTGCACAGTATTGAGAAGTGCTCAGTTTATCCAGAGGGGTACTTTCAAATAACCATGTTGTGCTCTTTACATCAGCCTGAGGAGCCACCTGTAAGGTCTCAACGCTTGCTGAGGTCTCCTGGTCTTTTAGGCTGTCCATGGGTTGGGTCTCGAACAGCCAAGTGCAGCGTTTCACATCCCCCTTGTGAATGTCCTCCCTCTGCACTGTGCTCAGGCTGGAGTTGCTTTCTGATTCTCCTTTCAGGGAGTCAATGGGCTGGTTTTCAAACAGCCAGGTGGATGTCCGCACATCTCCATGCTGAACGTCGCTGACACTGACCATGCGCACATACTTCTTTTGACTCACTTGCTCTGACTCAAAGAGTTGCTTGTTAGACTGGACATCTCCTTTCTGCACATCATCAATGGTCTTCAAGACCGGCCTCTTTTCTTCCACAATAGAATCAAGAGGCTCTGTTTCAAACCTCCATCTTGCTGCTTGGACATCCCCCTTCTTGAAGTCCTCCTGGGTGACAGCCCTGATCACAAATACCTCCTCATCTTTCTTGATCTGATCCAAAGGTTTGGTTTCAAACTGCCATCGGGCACCCTTCACATCACCTTTCATGATTTCTTCCTTCTTCACAGATGTGACTTCGTGGTACTCGCCTTCTTTGTCCTGAATGGCATACAAGGGACGGGTCTCAAACAACATGGTGCAGGACTTGATGTCGGCTTTATTCATGGTCTCCTCCTGGATCTTTTTTATTTGCATCTCGTTCTCTTTGTCGTGGATCTGATCTAAGGAGTAGGTTTCAAAAACAAATTTTTTGGCCCCAACATCTCCACCTTGGATGTCCTTTTGGGGGGCCACCTCTTGAATACCCTCCATGCTGCTTTTCAGGGTATCCATAGGGCAGTTTTCAAAGAGCCAAGTGAACTTGTGTACTGCTCCTCGTTCAATGTCCCCATGGGCTGGACTTTCAGTAACCTTCTTGTCAATGCTCAGTTTATGCATTGAATCCAAAGGTTTGGCTTCAAAGAATTCCTTCACCCTAGACACTTCTCCAGACTGGATCTCCACACGGCTGGAGTACCTGATTATTTTTTTGGTATCACCACTGCTAGTGGTATCACTGACCAAGGGTTCTGTTTCGAATAAGTGCCGCACAGTTTTCACATCTACTCCTTGTAATTCATCCTGATTGTAAACTTTGCAAACCTGCAAATACTGCTCTTCTTGGCCTTTCAAAGAATCCAAAGGTCGTGTTTCAAACATCCATGTGCATGACTTAACATCACCTTGTGGAACAAGTTCTTCTCCATCCTGCTTCTTCCCTTCCTTCTCATACAAGGTGTCCATCGGATGTGTCTCAAACAACCACCTGCAGGTCTTCACATCACCCTTTTGGGTTGTGTCTCCTTTCTCAGAGATGTTCTGGTCTGCTGGGTTCATTTGACTGTGGATGACATCGATGGGTTGTGTTTCAAAGAGCCACTTGGCTGTTTTAACATCTCCAGCTACCACTTCCTGTTTGGTGATCCCTCTTACAAGGGCCACTTTTTGGGCGCTGTCATCAAACTGATCCAGAGGTTTGGTTTCAAACATCCACTTGTAGTTCTTAACATCTCCACTGGTTACTTCTTCCTCTCTGCTCACAGAAGTGACTTTGTGGAAATTTCCAAAGCAATCTTTGATGGCATATAAAGGTGTTGTCTCAAACAGGGTCTGGTTGGCTTTCACATTCCCAAGTGGTATTTCCTCACTTTTCTCGACCATCTCCTCAGAGCTTACCTGCCTAATGCTATCCAAAGGCAGTGTCTCAAATAGACTCTTGAAGGCTTTCACGTCACCTTTCTCTACCTCTTGAATGTTGGTGGCTGAAATGTCTCCAGCTGGAGATTTGGCAATGCTGCCCAAAGGGCAGGTTTCAAAAACATGTTTTGTTTGCTTCACAGCTCCTTTCTCCTCATCTGTAAGCTCAACTTTCATTAAATGTCCAACTTCATAACTATCCCTCAACGTTTCCATTGGTTGAGTTTCAAATAGCCAGAGACTTGATTTCACATCCCCTTTGACGACTTCTTCTCTGGTTGGGATACTATTGGAGGGTTCTCCTTTCAGAGCATCAAGAGGCTGAGTCTCAAAAAGCAGGCACTGCTTGCTCACATCAGCACCTTGGATGAGGTCTGGAGAAGCCTTGAAGTCAGTTTCCTCCACTGTAATTTCTCTTATGGCATCTAGAGGCTGAGTTTCAAACAGCCATTTGGCTCCACTGACATTTCCCTTGGATGATTCTTCCAGGGAAATCCCCCGAATGACTTGCACTTTGGATGTATCCTTGTTGATGGTGTCCAGGGGCTGTGTCTCAAAGAGCCAGCGGGCTGTCTTGACTGTATTGCTCTGTATTTCTTCCCTGCAGACAGATTTGATTTCATGGATGTGTCCCGTTTGGTCCCGAATAGCGCACAGAGGCTCCGTTTGGAAGAGCTTGATGGTTTTCTTGACATCACCTTTGTGTTCTTGGATTTCTGACTTGAGTTGCAGAATACTTTGCTCCTCCACTGAACAGCAACGGCCCAAAGCGTCCAAAGAATGGGTTTCAAAGAGTTGGGCTGCCCCTTTCACATCCCCTTTCTCCACAGGCTCTTTGAGGACTGCCTCTTGCAAGTCGGTCTCATCCAAATACATTTTGTTCAGAGCATCAAGTGGTTGAGTTTCAAAAAGCCATCGAGCCGTGCGCACATCCCCTTTGGTTTGCTCTGCCTCAGATACTTTGGTTGAAGGCCCATCACCGTTGGGTAGAGGACTTTCAAATCTCATGGACCTGTTTTTCACATCTCCACTTGGAATGGCTTCCTCCTCAGCGAGCTTCTTTGCAGCTTGATGTTCCCCAATGGAGTCGAGCGTCCAGTTCTCAAAAATCCAACGCATGGATTGAACCTCCCCAGGAAGCACTGCGTCTAGGTTCATGGAGGCCTGGGCATTTGGGTCATCAGTGCTCAGCATCTCAGCCAGATCCTCTGTCACGGCCTCCTCCAGGTTTTTCCGGAGCTCAGGATGCATGTGGCGGTAAAGCCTCTTGAGCTCATTGACTTGACGCTGCTGGTAGAACTTAGAGAAGGTTTCCTTTGGAGGAGGAGGAGGAAGTGGACTAGAATTCTGACTTCTAGCAACGGAAGTTGCACCTGGTGCAGAGTCCTGGGATGGAGGAGGAGGAGGAGGAGGCATATTCTCATCGATCTTCCTGATGATGGATGTGGGATTCATGTCATTCTGAGCTTCTGCCATCTCTAAAGAAACATTGTGGGACATGTCAGCTCAGATTCTCCACCAAGGATTCCCTTGTTAGTGACAAAGGCCAAACTCATGCAGCAACTTGGGTTAATGATGCAGATACGTAGGTCCACTCCGTACCGCCAAAGCACACCAAGCATCACACCACTTCAAACTCTTCCGTGTACACACACCACCACAGACTTGGGATTATTGATGTTAGGAAGCGTCTAACCAATCACAGCAAGTCTAAATAAAACAAACTCATTCTTAGACCCTGTTTGTTGCTTGGGTATGCAATTCCTATTTGTATGTTGAATGGGAGAGTAAAAAAAGTTTGTACCAATGCTGTGGTTGGCCTATCAAACACCACGAATATAGACAAATTATTGGAAGGAAATGCAAGGAGTGTGCTGCTCCTATCATGCACCAATGCTCATTGATGTACCCACCACTACCTGCTGTTCTGGGGTGTAGGCCTACCCAATTTCCTGGAAAGTTGGAGGGCTTATGCATAGGAATGACATGGAGCTTTCTTGGCCCAGCTCTCTGGATGCTGGGTAGCAGGTGACAAGAAATAGATCTGTAATACCGGATGATATCTGAGCAACATTTGTGACGTGTACCTCTTGCAGTATGCAGAGGGATCTTGTAGCACCTTAGAGACTGAGTGAACAATGTTGGTAAAATAAGCTTTTGAAGACTAAATCTTCTTCCTTGGCTATATCTGAGGAAGTAGACTCAGGGTACATCTACGCTATAGAAGTAATGCAGATCGACACCCCTTTAACTGCTAAGGAAGTTGTTGTTTTACAACGTCTTTAGCCTTTTCTGCCAAAGACTGTTGGCGTGTCACCAAACTACCACTCCCATAATCCCATAGCACAGAGCCATGGCAGATAAAATGGTGTCAAACTACATTCATTATACACTATAGATGCATTCATTATGTGGTCTAAATGTATTAATTCTACACTATAAGTGCATTCATTCTCAGTTACAAATGCATTAATAATACAGTGTAGCTGTATCAGTTTGTCTCCAAGGTACTTGAACAGTGTTTCTCAACCTGTGGGTCGGGACCCCTGGGAGGGTTGTGAGAGGATGTAGGGATCGCCAAAGACCATCAGAAAACACAGTTGTTGGACATGGGGGTTCTTTGTAGGAAGTTTGGCCCAATTCTCTAGTTGGGGGAGTACAGAATGCTCTTTGATTGTAGGTGAACTATAAATCCCAGCAACTACAACTCTCAAATCTCAACGTCTATTTTCCTCAAACTCCACCAGTGTTCACATATGGGCATATTGAGTATTTGTGCCCAGTTTGGTCCAGATCCATCATTGTTTGAGTCCACAGTGCTCTCTGGATGTAGGTGAACTACAACTCCAAAATTCAAGGTCAATGCTCACCAAACCTTTCCAGTATTTTCTGTTGGTCACGAAAGTTCTGTGTGCCAAGTTTGGTTCAATTCCATCATTGATAGAGTTCAAAATGTTCCTTGATTGTAAGTGAACTATACATCCCAGCAACTACAACTCCCAAGTGACAAAATCAACCCATCCCCCAACTCCACCAGTATTCAGATTTTGACGTATTGGGTATCTGTGCCAAATTTGGTCCAGTGAATGAAAATACTTCCTGAATAGCAGATATTTACATTACTGGCTTGATGTAGGTTTTCTTGGCTATATGGCCATGTTCTAGAAGTATTCTCTCCTGACGTTTCACCTGCATCTGTGGCAAACATCCTCAGAGGTTGTGAGGTTTGTTGGAAACTGGAAAATTGGGTTTATATATCTGTGGAAGGTCCAGGGTGGGAGAAAGAACTCGTCTTTTGGAGCTAGGTGTGAAAGTTTCAATTGGTCACCTTGATTAGCATTTGATGGCCTGACAGATTTTAGGTGTGGCTTGTTACTGCCTGGGAAATTTCTTTGTTGAGAGGTGACCAGGTGTTCCTGATTGTTTCCTGACTGGTTTTCCCTTGTGTTTGAGTTTTGTTTTTTATTTACTATTATAATTTTAGAGTTTTTTTTAGTACTGGTAGCCAGATTTTGTTCATTTTCATGGTTTCTTCCTTTCTGTTGCAATTGTCCAACCTGGCCACAGCATATTATTTGAGAACACAGAAATGCTGGACCACTCTAACAACTACAATGTCAGGCTACACAGAGAAGCCATTAAAATCCACAAGCATGTGGACAAGTTATTTCTCCCGCCCTGGACCTTCCACAGATGTATAAACCCAATTTTCCAGTTTCCAACAAACCTCACAACCTCTGAGGATGCTTGCCACAGGTGCAGGTGAAACGTCAGGAAAGAATGCTTCTAGAACATGGCCATACAACGCGAAAAACCTACAACAACCCAGTGATTATGATTCATAACAGTAGCAAAATTACAGTTATAAAGTAGCAACGAAAATAATGTTATGGTTGGGGGTCACCACAACATGAGGAACTGTATTAAGGGGTCGCAGCATTAGGAAGGTTGAGAAACACTGATCTAGAAGATCCCTTTGCATACTAATATCCCATACTAACACAGCAATGTTTTTGTCCAACTTGCAATCATAACTCTAGCCTAAATTTTATTCTTGCTTCAGACTAGAGTAGAGCCACTGAATCATTTGGATTTATCCATGTATCATCTCACCAGTACATAGGGATTGGGTACTAATGCTGACCATCCTTCCCAGCAGAACGGAATGCAGTTTTATGCAAGGACATTGCTGAGTTCTTCCCCAGTAAACCACAAGATGGTCCAAGGCATTCAAATTAAGCAGATGAAATAAAGAGAACTACCTGCATCGTAAATCAAACTGCAAACGGGTTGAGTTTCAATGTATTTTCAACATAAAATACAAGGACAACTGTATTAGTGGAGTTTTAAGCACACGGTTGGTTATATTGATTTGTCAGCCTAGACACACAACTGATTGAACACACAGGGTTAGGTAGCTGCACACTCATCTTCATAAATTCCCTACCTTCTTTGCTTTGTGATAATCAAGAGAATTAAAAGAGATCTCACAAACGGAATTCTAAATGGAAGAGAATAACAAAGTTTATCAGACTCTGTAGGAATGTATGCACTCAATCAAGAACAACAACTCCCAGCTCTCAGATGGTGTTGGATTCTTCTGCTTCAGAGGTTTTTGGAACAGAGTGTGGATGGCCATCTCTCGAGAGTGCTTTAGCTGTAGCAGAATAGGTTTGAACTAGATAACCCATGTAGTGCCTCCCAACTTTATAGTATGTCCATATAACAGGTTTACCTTTTATCCAAAGTGCTTGGAACTAAAAGTGTTTTGGATTTGGTTTTGTTTCCCCCTCCCTTAGATTTTGGAATACCTGTATTTGCATATATGTACAGAATTAGATATCTTGGAAATGGGGCCTAAGTTTATGCAATATATATATATATATATATATATATATATATATATATATATATATATTCATTCATTTATTTCTTTTACATGGAGCCTGAAGGTAATTATTATTTCATATCAAAAGCATTGCATAAATTAGTATAAAACTGATAAAAATAGAAGGAGCACAAGCGACTAAATATCTTTTGACCAAAATGTGCAACAGCAACAGCATTGTATGTAGCCTCCAACAATTCTTCCTCAGGTTGTTGTAGGTTTTTTCGGGTTATATGGCCATGTTCTAGAGGCATTCTCTCCTGACGTTTTGCCTGCATCTATGACAGGCATCCTCAGAGGTAGTGAGGTCTGTTGGAACTAGGAAAATGGGTTTATGTATCTGTGGAATGACCAGGGTGGGACAGAGAACTCTTGTCTGTTGGAGCTAGGTGTGAATGTTTCAACTGACCACCTTGATTAGCATTTGATGGCCTGGCAGTTGTTTGGTGTGACTTGTTGGTGCCTGGAGCAATCTTTTTTTGAGAGGTGATTAGATGTCCCTGATTGTTTCCTCTCTGTTGTTTTGCTGTTGTAATTTTAGTATGTCCATATAATGTCAGGAGAGAATGCCTCTAGAACATGGCCACATAGCCCGAGAAAACCTACAACAACCCTGTGATTCCGGCCATGAAATCCTTTGACAATAAATTCTTCCTCTGTACATGAGGCAGGACACAGTGGACAAGCATAGTAGACAAGCTAGGCACTTTTAAATGATATTTTAAATCATTTGATGCATGAAACAAAGTTTGTGTACATCAGAAAGCAAAGGCATCACTATTGCAATCACTCAATTTTGGAAATCCAGCCAAGAGATGCTCAACTTGGATGAACAATTTATTTATTTTCACACACCATTAAAAAAAAAACCAGTCCCAAACATGGTTGGAATTTAGTATGGGACTTAGGTCTTTGTAAATAAGGATTTAACTTGGGTGAGAAATGGAATTGAATAGATTTGTAACGTCTGGATTCACATAAGGCTGAGAGGAGATATGATAGCCATGTATAAATATGTGAGAGGAAGCCACAGGGAGGAGGGAGCAAGCTTGTTTTCTGCTTCCCTGGAGACTAGGACGCGGAACAATGGCTTCAAACTACAAGAAAGGAGATTCCATCTGAACATGAGGAATAACTTCCGGACTATGAGAGCTGTTCAGCAGTGGAACTCTCTGCCCTGGAGTGTGGTGGAGGCTCCTTCTTTGGAGGCTTTTAAACAGGGGCTGGATGGCCATCTGTCAGGAGTGATTTGAATGCAATATTCCTGCTTCTTGGCAGGGGGGTGGACTGGATGGCCCACGAGGTCTCTTCCAACTCTTTGATTCTATGATTCTATGATTCTATAATGCTATCATGACATTATTATGTAGGCATGTCTGGTGAATAATGGTAGGCAGAAGAACAAAAGATATGCCATTGCAAGATGTGCCATAAGAAGTGTAGCAGCCCGAAAGGAGGACACAATTGGCATCAGAAATGGCCAATGTGCAATAGAAATGCTTGATGCGCATGAGCACTCTCTTGCCCAGATCTTTGAAACCCATCAGGCTTTGCTGCACATCTGCATCATAGTTATTCATTCATAAAGTTACAAAACATAGACCATGATGTGGAACCTCGTCCCTGGTTTTACAAAAAAAACCCTCCAGACTGGACTTGCTCTTCTTTGCTCCCCTATGACCATATATGCCTTGCGGAAATACTTCTGGTGGGTCAGAAGCATGAGAGAAATGTAAAGCATGAGAAACTTACCAGTTCTGGCAGACCACCGGCGTGATCCGCAGCAGCAGCTGCACGGGACAAATAGAGAACGGACCTCTCCTTCACCGAGGGGGAAGAGGGCAGCCTACGTCCTTGTGGAGGTATGCGCCTTTGGTTGTCAGTGCCACCTAAAACCCCTGAGGTTTTCTCATCTGGAATAGAAAGAATAAGGACCTTATCATATTGGGATATTATCAGTTCATATCAGCATGCATGCCATATTTTGCAAGTAGAGATGCTCCAGATATTTGCCAGTATGCTATGCTCAATTGGAATAGAAACAAGCAGACATAGATGTGCGCAATATGAGTGCCATTCTAATCTGAAATACAGACAAGCGCACAGAGATGCCCAAGACATGTGCTAGTGCAGTGGTTCTTAACCTTCTTAATGCCGCGACTCCTTAATACAGTTCCTCACGTTATGGTGACCCCCACCATAACATTATTTGCGTTGCTACTTCATAACTGTAATTTTGCTACTGTTATGAATCATAATGTAAATATCTGATATGCAGGATGCATTTTCATTCACTGGACCAGATTTGGCACAAATACCCAATATGCCCAAATTTGAACACTGGTGGGGTTGGGTGTGTTAATTTTGTCATTTGGGAGTTGTACTTGCTGGGATTTATAATTCACCTGCAATACTGCAGAGTATTATGAACACCAACAATGGATTTGGACCAAATTTGGCATAGCGAACTCCCATGACCAATACAAATTGCTGGAAGTATTTGGTAGGCATTGACTTTGAGTTTTGGAGTTGTGGTTCACCTACAACCAGAGAGCACTGTGGCCTCAAACAATGATGGATCTGGACCAAACTTGTCACGAATACTCAATATGCCCAAATGTGAACACTGGTGGAGTTTGGGGAAAATAGACCTTGACATTTGAGAGTTGTAGTTGCTGGGATGTATACTTCACCTACAATCAGAGAGCATTCTGAACCCCACCATCAATAGAATTGGGCCAAACTTCCCACACAGAACCCCCATGACCAACAGAAAATATTGTTTTCTGATGGCCACTATGACACTCCCCCTCGTGACCCCTCCCCTGGCATCCTGACCCCCAGGTTGAGAAATGCTGTTCTGTGTAACTCTCATCTGGAATAGAGAAAAGCACTCAGAGATGCCCAAGATATATATCAGTGTACCATTCTCATCTGAATGGAGACAAGCAGACATAGATGCTTTGATTGTGCTGTTCCCTCATGGCAGGGAGTTGGACTGCATGGCCATTGTGGTCTCTTGCAACTCTAGGATTCTAGGTGCTAGTGGGCCAGTATTGGCCAATAAGGCTTGTGACGGCTTTAGAATAGTGGATAAGCTATTCCTGGTGTTGGATCATATAAAATCCCTGCAAACCAGAAATCAGAAATTGGCAGCTATTTGGCCATCTCTAGCCCCTGTTATGGTCAAATTTGTCCAAATTTGCCCACCGGACTTGGCAATAGGATGTATTGAGAATAAGGAACGGGGTATTGTCAATTTTCCTGCTTTATCAAAATGTCCCCCCCCCCCCCCGCCAAAAAAAATTACAAAATTAGTAGTTCAGCAAGAGATGTGTATAGTGTGTGTGTGTCAATATGGAACCCGTATCTGCAGGAGATGTGTTCCTGAATTTTCTGTAGATACATGCAACTCTAATTAGACAAGAAGATTAAGGGTAAATGTAAAATGAATGCAGTTTGACACCATTGCAACTGCCCTGGCCCAATTTTATAAAATCTTGGGATTTGTAGTTTGTCAGGGTGCCAGCACTCTTTGGCAGAGAAGACTTCAGACTTTGCGAAACTACAACACCCACGATCGCATAGCATTGAGTCATGGTACTTATAGTAGTGTCAAAGTGCATCAACTCTACAGTATAGATGCATACAAAGCTTGTGCACACTGAAGCATTATAAAGTATAGTTCCCAGCTCCCCATGTGGACGGTTTTGGATTTTGGTGCTTTCTTGATTCCAGATTTATGCATAAGGGAACTTTACCTGTCATTGCAAGCATTCATTGTGTCTTTCTTCAGGGGCCTCTGGTGGATTAAGAGCCAATGAGGGAATGATTTCAACAAATCAAGAAAAACAAATACTATTATTGTCTGACTCGGACAGACAATATATCGACGGATATATTGGTCTGGCCTATAATCCAAGGAAAACACAGGTGTATGCTTCCCAAACCTCAAGAATTGTACAACTTTGGGGATGGGGATGTAGAGAGGATAAGAGCAGGCCTCACAAAGAGGCTATTTCTCAGCAAAAGCACAAAGATAACAGCTTTGCATTTGGGGCGTCTCAAGCTCCGAATGCTTAGACTCCTTGGGGCCATGGGTGGCTGCGTTGCTGCGTCAGTGGTGCGCATGATAAATGTGCCACACATTGGAAGGCGAGGGGGAAAGGCATTCCTTGCAGTTCCGCTTGGTATTTTCAGCTGCTGGGAGATTTCTTAAATGTCAAGACCTCTCCTCAATGGGTCTCAAGGCAGCTTCCTACCCAAGGCTGTCTCTGCAGGTGGAGAGGCCAGAATACAAAACAAAACACACCCAGGAAAAGTTGATTCGTTTACTCTTTTCAGAAATATACAGAAAAGGGGAGTGAGCTCTACTTCCATGCATTTTCAAATAAGGAGCAGCGAAGAAGATACATTTCTGTCCTTCACAACAAATGCATTATCTTTTGGTAATCTCTGACGTTTACTTAATATAGCCTTGCTGGAAAGACTCAAAGAGCAGCTTATGCATCAGACAACCTCTCTCTCTTCTTTAAAATGGCACGGCACAGGAATGGGCATCTTTTCTATGATCAAACACTTGATCATAAAGTTGGAAGAGACGCCTCAAAGTCCAATCCCCTTCAACTATGCAGGAATACAAGCAATCAAAGCACTCCATGCGATAGAATCCTGGGATTTGTAGTTTAGTGAAGGACCAGCACTCTTTGGTAAAGAAGGGGAAAGATATTGTAAAACAACAAACCCCAGGATTCCATAGCGCTCTGCCATGGCAGTTAAAGTGGTGTCAAACTGCATCAATTTTACAGTGTACATTAGTGTTTCTCAACCTTCCTAATGCCGCGATCCCTTAATACAGTTCCTCGTGTTGTGGTGACCCCCAACCATAACATTATTTTCTTTGCTACTTCATAACTGTAATTTTGCTACTATTACTAATCGGAATGTAAATATCTGATATGCAGGATGTATTTTCATTCACTGGACCAAATTTGGCACAAATACCCGATTATGCCCAAATTTGAATACTGATGGGGTTGAGTGTTGATTTTGTCACTTGGAAGTTGTAGTTGCTAGAATTTATAGTTAACCTACAATCAGAGCATTCTGAACTTCACCAATGATGGAATTGAACCAAACTTGGCACACAGGACTCCCATGACCAACAGAAAATTCTGGAAGGGTTTGGTGGGCATTGACCTTGCGTTTGGAAGTTGGAGTTCACCTATATCCAGAGACTCAAACAATGATGGATCAAGATCAAACTTGGCATGAATGCTCAATATGCCCAAATGTGAACACTGATGGAGTTTGGGGGAAATAGACCTTGACATTTGGGGGTTGTAGGTGGTGGGATGTATAGTTCGCCTACAATCAAACAGCCCCTTGAACACCATCAACAATGTCAGTCCCATGTCGCATGGGTGCTTGTCCCCTGCCTTGAAGGGATTCCCTTCAGACTTGTGCACTCTCCCTTGCCCATACATGTGCACCATGCTGCCATGTACTGAGCACGCCTGCTCTCCCCTCCTTGCTTGGAGTCTCAGAAGCAACCCTCCCCTTGGCTGTGAGGTCAGCTGAGAGGCCGGCCAATCACAGCAAGAGGAGGGCTTTTGGTGGTCGGATTTGCCGTCTGTTTCCAAAAAGGAAGAGAAGGACAGGCGGAGAGATCTTCAGCCTTCTCTGCCAAAGGGGTTCCTAAGACCATCAGAAATATGTGTTTTCTGATGGTCTTTGGCAACCCCTCTGAAACCCCCTTTGTGACTGTCAAAGGGGTCCCAACCCCCAGGTTGAGAAACGCTGGTGTAGATGAACCCTAAACCTCTTGCCTCACTACTAGGATTTTCCTACAATGACCACTAGAACAACTATTTTGTAGACAGCAATGAGGAAGTAGAGAAGCACTGGATTATGCTCCAAAGCCAGATGCAGAGTGAAGATAGAGGGTGCTGTAGAAATAATGCACTTTGAGACCACATTAATTGCTATGGCTCAATGCTATGGGGTTCCTAGGAGTTGCATTTTGATTTGGAAGAGAAGTACTGAACCAAATTAAAGGAAAAAAAGTGGGAGGAGGAAGAGAGAAGCTGGGCCTCTTTAAACATAGCTGAAAAATTGGGATGGCAGAGGATTAATCAGCACTGTCCTTGCCAAATTAATGTACACAATATATAAATGTGGAAACTAATTGCTCTCGCTCTTGCGATTAATACTGACAATTGGAACGATGTCATTTCCAATTGCACGCTGGAGATAAGAGCTCTGAAATAATTAAATATAAACCAGTTCATCCATGAAGCTGCTCTTTTTAAAAAAGGGAGAACCAAACAGCAGGGATATTGCTGGTATGTCTTCTAAAACAATATGGAGAGCGAAATTCTTTGCTCATTCCCATCCTACTATACAGCAGTCCATTTTCTGTAACTTGAAAAGCATCTTGAGCTCAGGTTTTAAAATAACCACATGTCTGCTATGCCACCGCAAACGCTGGATCATTTAGTCATGAACCACAGAGTTAGAAAAGACTGGAATCTCTTCTGAAGGCATTCCTCCATGAATCCCCAACCCTTCCTATTACGACAGGATTCGCTTCTGGAATATACACAGCAGAAACAATACAAAAGCTACCCAAGAAAAATCCAACTTGAATGCAAAAAGCAATGTTTCCAAGTTTAATAACATTATGATACAGGTTAGCCCAGACATGGGCAAACTTGGGCCCTCTGGGTGTTGTATATATATACTGTTAAAGCATATAATCATCAGTGTCATCCTGTTAAAAACATTATCCAGTAACATCATCTGGCCATTCCGTGTTCATCATTCATAGTTCTGTGTTATCTATTCCACTGCATTCTCAAAAGCTTGCTCAAAGAGCCAGGTCTTTTTTTGGAAAGTCAGGAGGGAGG